TTTAAATATGCTTGTGTAACCTGCACCAGTGGTTGCAGGAAGTATTCTACCAGTCTTGATGCAAGGGAATCTATACCATTAATAATAGGTCTTCCCAGTGGATTAACACTGTCTTTGTGTATATTCGGGACATAATATATGACCAGAATCTTACATACTGACGAGAGCAAATATCTCTCCTCATGTTTATTTAATGCACCCTTTTTTTTACTCCATACCTAACAATCTTTTTCACCTTCCTTTTATAATGTTTAGTGGGATTATTTGGCAATATCTCATAGGTGTTACTATCACTTAGTCGCTCAATTTTACTAATCTGTACCCACTTTTATGTCCAAATTGCTTGTAATCTCCCTAGTTTATCCATTTTCCATCTGCCCACCCAAAATGTGCTGTGAACAGACAGCAGATACAGGACCAATGACGTACCTCTACTTCTCTGGTGTTACACCAACTTGGGGCTCTCTGCACCCAAGTGGACACACAACCTTCCCCCCATGTCTGCTGTGTCCACCGGACACAACATAAGATCCCAGTGAACGGGACCTGGTGGTCAGTTGATTGCTATGTGATCACATGATCACAATGACAACAAAGCTGTTATGAATCAATCTGATTCCTAACAGTTTTGCTAGTGTTCCTGGAGAGCTGTAATTGGCCCACAGCTGATGAGCTGTAGCCAATCACATATCACTGTATTTTGAACTATCATGATCTTAACCCATTCATAACAGTTCAAAGCAAACATTACATTGCAGGAGCAATAATATTTTTTGCTCTTGCAATATAAAGTTTAAAAAAAATCCCTGATCACATCCCCAGAGTAGTAAAATGTTACTATGGTACCCTTATATTGCTTTCTATTTCAAGGTGTGCGTGCCCCCCCCCCCCTTCCCTGCTGCCCCCTATGCCAGTCCAGGTATAAAAGAGAGAACGCATCACTGAGTAAAAGCACTACATTTTACGCATACATTAGATTAGCACATTTAACCCTTTGATTACCCCTATTAACCCTGTCACCCAGCCAGAGCCATTAGTACAGTGTCAATATATAGAATGTTTTACTGATGCACTGTATTACTGCCACTAGCGACATCAGATAGCGTCAGGATCTGTAAGCGCCCCTCCCAGCCATGGTCAGCTACCAATAGATTGCCCACACACTATTGCACTCACACTATAGGTCGCTGATCACTGCCATTACTAGTATAGTGTTTGTAAAGATCTATATATTGATCATGAAAAGAACTATACTAGTGCCTCCTTAGTATAGTGTTCCCAAAAATACAGTACTAGCAGGATCAGCCCAATTCGCTGTCAGCGCTAGCATTTAGCCGCTCCGCTGTTTTTCATGGAAGATTTGTATGAATTGATTGTGGGCCAAAGCAATTTATACATACAATAATACATGACTGCCACCCAAATGCAGCTCTTGCCAGACAATTCGCATGGAAACATCATGATTTCTGAATTTAAAACTTTTTGGAGCCTAACCCTCAACAGGGCATTACAAAAAAGAATGAATTGCGGTCATATTGATCTACAGACCTGACTCATCATATGTTCATGTTCTCTGCTGTTACAGTACATACTGTATATGCCCAACAAAGACCAGCAATATGCTGGTACGTTGCTGGACTTTGCAGCTACAGGCATCATCCTTGTATCGTTTTTTTCAGCTGGCGGTCTGCTTTCATGTAAAAACAACCTTAGAATGCAGCCGCAAGTGCTGCTAGCTGACCATAGAACTGTTTGGAGACCAGAATGCCTCCAATCATCTCTATTGCCTAAGAGAATGGAAGCTACGAGCATTTCATCATCTCCGTTTCACCGGATCAGGGTCATTTTAAAATTGGGTAAGCATCTGACCACACCAATCTTGGTGTGATCAGATGTTTTAAGGGCAAAGGAGAGATTTAGAGTCTAATGGACCCCAAATTTCTCAGAAAAGAGTACCTGTCACTGCCTATCGCTGTCACAGGGGATATTTACATTCCCTGTGATAAGATTAAAAGTGATTTAAAAAAATGAAAGGGACAGTGTAAAAATAAAAAAGCAAATAAATAATTTTAAAGAAATTCAATTCCACCCCCATCCCCATGCTCGTGCACAAATGCAAACGCAAGAGGCGGTCCCGTGTCCGTATGTAAACAGAGATTGCACCATGCATGTGCAGTATCACCGCAAACGTCAGATTGAGGGCAGTAATTCTAGCACTAGACTTCCTGTGTAAATCTAAAGTGGTGACCTGTAAAGGCTTTTAAAGTGTTGCATATGGACATTAAAAATTTACATAGTTTGTCGCTGTTGCACAGACAATTTTAAATCTTAAAATTTTAAAGCAGGTCATGTTTGGTGCACATTTACTCTTTTATATTATATCAAAACAATTGGGCAATATTTTGTGTTTTTGTGCAATAAGGTTCTAAAAATGTATTTTTTACAAAAAAGCAATTGCGGGTGAAAAATCTGAAGGAACCCTCTGCACACTGCTATATACCCTTTGCAGCAAACCTTGCAATAAAAAAATAGGGATATTTAGTTTACACATATTGCAATACATGTTTAAGCTGGCCATCTGCATCAAAGTAATTCAAGGAAAGAAATTTGTAGTGTTAATATGTGGTTACACCCCTTTAGCACCTGAAGGATAAATACATGTACAAGCTATTGGGATTGAAGCACAGGTATATCTTGTTTGCGATTCATCACCCACCGTTTTATTCTCCAGGGCCTCTGCGTTAAAAATATATAATGTTTGGAGGTTCAAAATAATTTTCTATCAAAAAAAATGTTTTTTTCATGGAAACAAAAAGTGTCAGAAAAGGCTTGGTCTTCAAGTGGTTAGAAGAGTCGGTGGTGTGTGTGCCATAAGCTTCTAATGGATAATATGGTAGATGGATAGTAGAAGCACCAAAGTAGACTCTTCAAGGTATTTGCTAAGGGTCATGGTGAGTATTTTGCAGATCTCATTTGTTGCCACAAGTTTTTGGAAAGAGAAGAAAGAAAACAAAGATTAGTTTTTTCTTTTCTTTTTTTTCATTTACAAAACCCTGTGACAAAAATGGTATCTGCAAAATACTCACCATTATTATTATTATACAAGATTTATATAGCACCAACAGTTTGCTCAGCGCTTTACAATATAATGGAAGACAATACAGCAACAATACAGTTCAATACAAGAGGGTCACTATGCCTCTTATCAAATTTATCAAATTCCTTGAGTTGTCCACTTTCCAAAAAGGGTCATTGGGTGGGGGTTATACTATTCTGGCATTTTAGGGCCTCTGAAACTGTGATAGGCAGTGATGAAATGACATGAGGAGGAAAAATGCCCTTTAGAGGCCTGGAGGTGGTCATTGGATTTTTGTGTAAAAAAAAAAGTTGTCATTTTCCAAAAATGTGTGGCAAAAAATAAAATCTTCCATAGACTCAACATGCCTCTCAGCAAATTCCTTGAGGTGTCTACTTTCCAAAAGGGGTCATTTGGGGGGTTTTGTACTGCCCTGGCATTTTAACACCTCAAGAAATGTGACAGGAAGTCAGAAAGTAAAAGCTGTGTAAATTCCAGTATATATACCACAGTACGTAGAAGCTATAACTTTCACACAAAGACATGTATTGGGAATTGTTTTTACCAAAGACATGTATCAGAATACATTTTGGTCTAAATTTCTGGCTAACTTTAAGTTTACTGGATATTTTTTATAACTGAAAGTAGAAAATATTTGTCTTTTTTTTCAAAATGTTTGGTCTTTTTTTCGTTTATATGGATTTGTTTCGTTTTTGAAGCCTTACAATGGCCTGTTTCACTTTCATCAACAGCTCCTTTGAGCGCATAATGTAGGTTCACAGCAATAGATCCCAATTGCAAATACCACACTTAGAATCAACTCCAGACCTTTTACCTGGTTAATTGATGAAGAAATAATGAAGGAGAAGCCCACACTTGGCCATGAAGCAACTTTTGATTCAATTATCCAACTACTATTAGTCCCTTGAAAAAGGGGGGATGGCTACTCTTAAGAGCTGTAATTCTTAAACCCGTCCTCCAATTTGGATGTACATACTGTGACAGGAAGCCAGGAAGAACTAAGGGATGTGTCCAGGATGGGAGGTATATTTGTCCTAGATTCATGCTTTACACTGACTGTTTCTCCTTTGGTGCTGTGTAGTGAGCCTGTTTGGCTCACTGATGATGTAATTAGCTCAGCTGTAGTAGGTTAAGGGCTCTGGGCTCTATAAAACTCCCAGGCTGTTTAGGGAGAATGCTCAAACCTGGAACCAGTTGTCTGTACAGCGCAGACTGGGGAGCAACCAATCAATACTGTGGTGAGAGTAAATCTGTGTGTATTTGGACTGTGTGAACACCCTGTGTCTGAGCTGCAATAGGCTGCATCCAGACAGGTAGATAGGAACCTGTGTTTGCAGTTAGATGCCCAGTGTGGCAAGGCTTTATTTTCTATTTGTATTTTTTTTTTTTTTTGCTGTTTTGAATATATGCACTGTGTGTTCACCAGTCTTGTAAATAAAGCACAACTTTCTTCACCAAGATCCTACTGTCATGCTGAGCCTCTTTTACCGTGCACTGACTCACCCAGGGAGTCAAGCAAAACCCACTACTGGGCTAATCCCTCACAATACGCTCAAATTAAACTTGAGACTGTGCACTTTCCACCTATATCCATTATATAACTATAGATTGAATATGTGTTGGTAAATACCTGAAAAAATCTAAAATTGTGCCTGTTTCCAAATATACAGTATATGGACCTACATGTATGTCGGCAGCTTCATTGCCCTTTAATTGTCTCATGATGTAGTGGCTGGGGTTAGTGCCCTTTTTATTCCAGCTGTGGGTAAGGGCCCTGGCAGGGTTCGGTAAGGGAACATGACACCACTGACCAACAACATGTAGTTCTGAATCTGGTGCAAGAGATAGACACTGGCTTTGGACACTAGCAAGTCCTGTAGCTTGGTTAAGGATGACCTCAGGGCAGGGGCGGACTGACCATTTGGAAACTAGGACACTGCCCGAGGGCCCAGGGTCAGTAGGGGGCCCCATGAGATGCCCCTGGTACCTTTTTCATAGGCTTTTTTGAGTTTGGGCAAGGACACAGGGGCCCCATGATCCCCTATTGCCCGGGGGGCCCCATGAGTTGTCAGTCCACCCCTGCCTCAGGGCCTAAGTTAAGTTGAATGTGAGGAATCCCATTGCATGTTGTGCACTGTATTTTTTTATTCAGATGAGAAGGAATGCTGTATGTGATTGTACTGTTACACTAAAGCATTGAAAATGCTTTGGCACTGGAAATTCTTTAATCCGGGTAACAGGCTTTAGGATGGAAATATTTGAGAGGACATATCTCAAGACAGGAAGTTAGTGACACAAGATGGAGGAGTGACTCAAGAAATGACAGGTAAGTGACTATCCCATCCAAGAAGAAGGGGGTGATTCTAGAGTCAGCTTGATGGGAACTGCCACATAATACAGAACCTCTACAGACACAGGACCTGGTATGTCACATAACCACAAATTCAAGTATATATTTAGGCCATTTTGTTTAGATTTTTAAAAAATCTAATTTTAGATTTTGCTAGAGTGGGGTGGTTCAGGGAAAATCTTGGGGATTAGCCTGAAGACAAGCTTTAAGATATTAGCAGTTACAATTGCCATGTTACAATATACCGTGCATTTTCATTGAACTCCATTCTGCCGTTATGTTATTTTTGCAACTTAAGGCAGTTCAACTTTATTTATTTTCATGCCTAAATTCTTCATTCGGTGTAAAAACTTACCACTTCAGTTTTTTATAAATCAAGGCTTGCAGTCAAGACTTCAAACTTTAAAAGCCTGCCTTTCTTTAATCTCAGTATTTTCATTTGTCATTTATTCCCTTTAATCTTTCATTCTTTCACAGTTATTGGGCTTAAAATAGGCATTTTTAATATATTCTTACTCTATACTCAGTCACACTTATCTATGACACATAAACATAGAATGCTGCCAAGACAACATGACTAACTCTGTTGAAGAAAGATCACATAAAAGAATTATGGAATTTATGTCAGAAACTGACAAGTTAGAATCTCTATTATGGCCCAATCAAAGCAAACGATGCTTCTAATTTTGAGCATCTCACTGATGAAAAGTATCTTAGATGGTTCTCGGCACTTTGTTGGCTCTCCCAAAGCAGACAGGACTGTTATTCTCAGTAAAGTATATGACCATCTACAGCCACCCTTATACTGAAATATAGAAATTTCCCCCCACTCAACAATAACCTGAATATTTATATAGTCTAGTGATTTCACTTTTTATTAATAACAGTTAGGAAAGTATAACCATCAGGTACTGTCATCTATTACCTGTGTACAGTACAGACCTAGAGGCATTTTTTTCTCTGCATGGTTATCCTAGAAAAATATTTAACACTAGAAATTCAAAATGATGAGAAACCCATTGCTAGAGCAAGAAATGCAAAATGCCTTGTTTATGTTGTGGTCTAGATCAGTTGTTGCTTAAGGTGGGAAAGACATCTGTTTACATCCTTTTGTGATATGCAGGTTTTTAAAATAAGAATAAGATTTGTTATACTGTATATATATTTCAGTTTACCAGTCTTGACATGTGGTTGCAGCATTAGTTTGCTTTATTTTCACCTGGTGATCTTCATCACTATCTCTCTCTGGCTGGCCCTCCCCCATCCCACCAGTTCCAGTTCAAAGAAAAACACCTTGCTCTGACGGAGTGTGAATTAATCATCCTAAGGTGCCTTGCCTTCCAGAAACTTTTATGTTGCTGGGGCTTCATGAGGGTGTTCTTTGGCTCAGATGGCTACATCCCAATGGCTTGGGGAGATTTGTAGTGTTTTTTGGCTGCTTAGAGGAGAAGATCGGTGTTACTTTAAAAAATGCTACAGTTCCCCCTCCTCATGCAGCCACCATGGTGCCACAACTCTTATCCTCCTCTTCTACCACCTGCCTGGGAAAAGAGAGGACTCTGTAACACTTTGTTGGCTCTATGGGAAGGGAGAGGGGAAAGGTAGGGGTCTGATCTCTGGACGAGAATATTTTACACTGCAATGACTACCTGAGGGTGTCTTCATACAAGTACATTATGATAGTGTACTTACAGGCCCTAATTAGTCTAAAACATAGTAAAGCATATGGTGAAAGGTGCAATACTACAAGTCATATACTGTGAAGTCACACCCACCTTACAGCTACACCCGCTATTTGATTTCCGCATACATACAGTGGGCAGCATGCTTTGAGTGCCATATTTTTCTTCACACACTCCACAAAATGTCCTTAGTTTATATACACTTGAAGTCTTTTGAAAGGAATAGTCTGATAATAACCCCAAATTTTCCTTTCTTTGGGGTTACAGCAGATTATTTTTTGCTCATGACTGGTATTTAATTTGTATGTAGAAAGTAGGTTTTCACAATATTGTATCCTTATTTTCTGATTATGTTTGACACAAAAACATAGCTTAATGTAATCTGATGCAGAGTTTTGTCTTTAAAAAATCCATTCTATATATCTTCTTTTCCTAATGGATTTTTGATCTGTGTATTCTTGTAAAGCAAACTTTGACAGCCAAGTTGTACAAAAGGCCAAGACTAATCTTTCAATTTCAGGATGATGGTGCAGTAGTTTGGATAGTTATTGGTTGGTATAAAAGGCCATTTTTGAGCATTTTATGTCTTTCATCTTCCTCTGTAACATTAATGGTGAAATGCCTCCCGTGAACTTTCAGCATTATTCATAACTACAGCCAGATATTTTTATGTTTTGTTAACAGCATTTTCAACAGCATGATTTGTCCTCTCAAGCCAAAGTATTCTTGTTTATTATACCTAATGCCATGCCACCTATAGATGCATGTGTCAAGATAAAATGTGTTTATGAAATCCTTCCAAGAAGCCCATGAGGCTTAGAACAAACTTACACTGCTTAGAAAATGCCTGAAGTTTTAATATTAATATTTTATTTGCGTTAAAAAAATTTTAAATAGTTAATTTGTTTTACTTTAGATAATAGCAAAGATTACTAAAAATGACCAACAAAAGAAATTGTAAACACGTTCATAAAAAAAATATAACTCTCTCTTTTTCAATACATATTTCCAATGTCCCTATTCTTCTTACTTTCATGTATAAATGCATAAATATGAATTTTAATGTCTATGTGACCATTCCTGTGCCTCAGTCCAAGGTAACAGGCCAAATCTTAACCTGGAAAAAAGTAAGTTCCACTACTGTCCTGGTCCTGCAGGATCTGTTCTCTTACACAGTCTACATGATATTACAATGTAGTCAAAATGTATGTCCAAACAGCTTTGTAAGGCATGTAACAGGATGGGCAAAATGCTAAATAATTAGATAGTGAGTAACGGTACCTTTCCATTTACTAAACAGGTGCAAAGTTGGAAGCAATAATGCAAAACAGGGTCAGAATGAGCATGCAACACTGCAGAATAATATATAACAGACTATGAAAGTTGCATAAACATGGACCATTCAGAATAACATCCTTGTGGCTCAATCTGGGTAAAATGTACCTGCTTAGAATATCTGCTATAAAACACTATACCAACAGAGAGTGTAGCTGAGAATTATTAGCTCAGTAAAATAGTTCAGAGCACAAACATCTGCTTGCAATTATCCCCATAGAAATCATTCTTAACAGTGACCAGAAGGAGGGATCCATGACCCAAGGAAGCAATGCCACCCCGCTGGACCTTTGGTATTCTGGAAGCTGTCTGGGAGGTGCTCTTCAAAGTATCTTGGACTTCCACATAAGCTGTGTACTATTAGGTAATGACTTGACTGCCAATACACCATTTCTGACAGAAGAGGGCCACTCACCTGGATGCAGATCATTTGCTGGGTTCCCTGTGCCTCATCAGGTGTCACTTCTCTGAGCTATAGAGGGAGGTATTCAGAGAACTGTATCTTCTCTGGACATGTGCAGGAACCCATGAAATTGTGGGAAGAGGTGTTAAAGAAGCTTATATATGAGCATTGAAAATAAATGGTCACACCTCTGCAGGTGCATTCTTGCAGTATTTTAGTGGCATTTTGGCATAATGGCACCTTTGCCATTTCATTTTTTTTTTAACTGGAATAATTATTTGTATGCTGCACTTAGCTGATGCCCCCTTGTCTTTTTTCTTGTGATTTCAGAGATTTGTTACCAGGGGCGGACTGACAACTCATGGGGCCCCCGGACAATAGGGGATCATGGGACCCCTGTGCCCTTGCCCACACTCAAACCACACCCAAAAAAGCCTATGAAAGGTACCAGAGGCATCTCATGGGGCCCCCTTCTGACCCCAAATGGTCAGTTCGCCCCTGTTTGTTACTGTCTCGGGTGAAGCTGCCTACCAAAGTGCAACATCCATTTTATGGGATATTTATGAACTTTTTATTCTACACAAGTGGACTTTTATGTATAGACTGTCCTATATCTCTGTTTGCTTATTCCCATAAGGAGTTTTTTTTAGGGGGTATACAGTATGTGGGTAGTGTACCAGCACCTGTTTGCACCGTATATTTATTTTTTGTGTTGTTTACTAAATAGAGCAGCCTACATTTTTATGGGTACCATAAGACATGAATACCCATAACAGAACGAAAGTCTGAATTTGTGTATACAGTATGTAATGATACAGTATACAAAAAAGGTATTGAGTAAGAAGGACTATTGAAACGTTGACAATAAAAAAACAAATTAAAACTGAATAAATGGGGTTGTGAATTCCTTATGAACTCTTGCTACAGCTACCATATCCTCCAAAATACTATATTCTAACAAATTCTCTTCAAACAAAAATTAACAGGACTTTATAGGTACCAAAATTACTATTCTTATACATGAGGTGATTGTAGCCGTATTAGTGCACTTGCGACAGAAACAATTGAATACTGACGTGATACTTTATTTATTATTTGCACTAACATATAATTTTGAGGACAAGCTTATGGGGTATGTCCCCTTCTTCAAGGTCCAAGCATTGTAAAAATGTGTATGTTAGTGCAAATAAAAAAAGTATCACGTCAGTACTCAATTGTTTCTTCTTATATATATAAAATCCATCATATATGCTGCTGAGATTACAATTGGCATCCTTCATACACAGGTGTATTTCAATAATTAATTATGGTTAATATGAGA